GGGAGCACCCGGAATTCTGCGGCGGTGTCTCTGTTCTGGAGGAAAAACGTAGCTGATGTTATAGAAGCAAGACTGTGGAGCCACACGCAGATCAGATCAGGTCAGGTCAGGTCAGGTCAGGTCAGATCATTCCATGGCAGCCCTGCCCTGTGGCTTCATGGGGAGCTGTGCCAGAGGATCCTAATGGTGGGGTGACCTCTCCAAGCACTGGCACTGTGTCCCTCATGTTGGTGTGATTTGCTCTGTGCCATAGGCCAGGTGTAGGCAGGACCTGTGTTTAGGGTGCCTGCCCCTGCTCTTCATCCAGCCTCCTTCACACCCCAGTCCCACAGCAGCCATGGGATCACAGGAATGATCCCTGCAGAGGATCACTGGTGATCCCTGCTGTGGATCACTGGGGTGATCCCTGCTGTGGAACACAGGGGTGATCCCTGCTGTGGAACACTGGGATCATCCCTGCTGTGGAACACAGGGGTGATCCCTGCAGTGGAACACAGGGGTGATCCCTGCTGTGGATCACTGGGGTGATTCCTGCTGAGGAACACAGGGGTGATCCCTGCAGTGGAACACAGGGGTGATCCCTGCCGTGGGACAAGGGCTGAACCCTGCTGTGGATCACAGGGATGATCCCTGCTGTGGAACACAGGGATGATCCCTGCTGTGGATCACAGGGCTGCTCCCACAGTGTCACCCCCCTGCAGAACTGAAGGGACAGGGGCTGAGGGCCACCTCCGTGGTTGGCTGCTCTGCAGCAGGGTGGGGGTGAGCTGTGCTGGAAGGGGCAGCACCATTCAGCATTCCCAGTCTCTGCAGGGTCCTGGTGGGTCTGTGTGTGTCCCCACCAGGGTGAGGAGTGACCTTGGCTGCAGTGACATGCTCAGCAAGTGCCAACCCTTTGGTTACAGCGTACTGTATGTTTGAAAGCTGCAAACCCTACAACTTGAGTGCTTTCACAGTAGCTTTCAGAATAAAATGACTGCCTAGTACCCTAGTACTCTCTTTTAACAGATGTTAAAGGAAGTGTGTTGTTACTGCAAATGAGGTGTGAGATTTCCCCCCCCCTGGACTGTAGAAATTGTAAACCTCCCAATTGATTGATTAAAAAAGAATAGAAGATGCGTTGCTGATTCTGCCTTCCCAAGTGCCAAAGGATTGGTACAGTTGCTAAAAGCGTTTCTCTCTCAGCTTCCTATTGATGGTACTTTGATGGTCTTCTCCTGCTTCCTGTTACTGTAGTGTAGGAGCACCTCATAATGTATTTATTTGTATTTCCAACATGCTTGTGAAAGAGAAAAATACCAATTAATCCCATGTCCAACTAATTCAATGTCTATGATTTATGCTTGAGTAATTGGACAGCTCTTAATTACTCAGCAAACTACCTGGCCACTGGATTTTTTCCACTATGTTTATTACCATGTTCTCATGTACCTCAGAAATCACTCTTGGTTGCACAGTTTCTGTTCTCAAACTTTTTTGGGTTTTGTTTTAGGTTTTTTTGGTTTTTTTTTTTTTTTTTGCTTTATTGAGTGTGATGCCATATCAAGTCAACGTTATTCTCTCACAAATGTGCTCTTTAAGAGGTGTGGATGTTTATGTGGTCAGGGGATGCTAGAAAGTGTGGTAGTAGACATCAGTGTAAACAAAAGTATTTAGAAAGTACATGAGGTTGGTTTTGATGGATAAGACTCTGATACGGTGTAGTCTTGATTGCCTTTTAAAAGGTCTTTGTTCAGTGTTGTCATTTTTATTAATAACCTATTGTTTTGACTAGTTTAAAGATGGTTCTAAGAAAAGTGTTTTGGCGGGATTAGGTATGCTGTATGGACAATAAACTCACCTTGACCTAAATTTACTTGCCTTGCTTTTATTCCTTTAGTGAATTTGGTTGTGTCACTCACTCCATGGTGGTGTTTCCTTGGTGGGATGTAATTCTAAATCCTCTGATCTGGGTAGATGGTGCTAGCAGGCATATAAAATGAAGGCTGCAGTCACAGAACGAGCCTGCCTCTAAAATGTAGCTGCATTCCTACTGCATAGGCAAATTCTGGCCCTGAGATTCAAGAAGAACAAAGTCCTAAAAACTGGTAAATTGCAGGATCAAAATATTTTGTGGGAATCAAATTGAGCTGGTGAAAAGCCACACAGAGTGCACATTTTTGCAGTGAATTGAAATACGATTTAAATCTTCACTCAATTGTTTGTTGCACTGGAGTGCTCCTGAAAAAAATCAGATTGTTTTTCTTTCGATAAACCTGGGGAAACCGTGAGTAAAAGGAGTGGGATTTGTGGTGAGGCCAGTGGAAAGAAATGAGTCCATTGTCCAGAGTCTGCTTCCTCAGTCTGTGGCCAGGGGGGCAGGATGCTCAACCTCTCCCCTCTCCCACATCTGCTTGTGGATGCCTGCTGTGAAGTTACCAAGCTCCTGTGGGATGTGTTTGGCCTGACCTCTCCTCCACATGCATCCAGTAGCAGTTTTCTCCTGAATTTCCAGCCTTTTTCACCCCTGGGGACAGCAAAGAGACCCTGAAGAATGAAGCAGAGGCATTTGGGCAGACATACTGGGGAAACATCATCATAAAGTGAATTATTTTGCCAAACCCAAAGATAAACGAAAGGCAAAGACTCCAAATGACAAACTTCAAGATAAAATGAACAGGGAGAAGGAAAAAAAACTCAAAAAAACAAATGTTGCAAAAATGAAGAAACACACAAGCAAAAAATAACCTGAAACAAATAGAAAAAAAAATGGATGGAAATATGAAATAATTATGAATTATGAATTATGGAATGACTATGAATGCATTAAAAATTAATAGGAAATAGGGATTAAATTAGGAGGCTAAGAGTCAGGAGATAGAGATCTTTCTAGCCATACTCACACAATCTTGGGACCTGTGGTTTTAGGGAAAGTCTCTGAAGACTTTCCTGCCAAATGTCTTGTGAGCCTCACATTTTCCAGCTTATCTACACTAAGAGGTAGAGTTTTTAAATGATCACAAGTCCAGGGTTTTCTCTGACCACCACTGAACAACATGACCAGCAATTTCTGGTATTTACTAGGCTCAGCTTGGAGCCTGTGAAGGACTGGAACTGTGCAGTGACTGAGCCCTGACAGATTGCCCAGAGAGGATGTGGAGTCTCCCTCACTGGGGATATTCCAGAGCTGTCTGGACACAATCCTGTGCTCTGGGATGGCCCTGCTGGAGCAGGGAGACTGTACCAGATGCTCCACTGTGGTCCTTTCCAACCTGACCCATCCTGTGCTCCTGTGATTGTGGTTCTATTTAAAAGGGTTCTCAAAGGTGATTTGCATTCCAGCTGGGCTGCTGATGTTCCTGCTGATGTAGCCAGGAGACAACACTGAAACTTGTGGGACTGTCAGGCCAGGGAGAACATCAGGTCAGTGCTCTGCTGGGCTCCAGGGGCACTGTGACAAAGGGCATCCCTCAGCAGCAGTGGCATTCTATCAAGACCTGTTAGGATTACAAATAAAGGTGAGTAAAGCTGAGGTATTTACACTAAGGTAAGAATAACCACTGAGTTTTGCTGCAACCTGCTAGAGGGAGAGAGAGAGAGAGAGAGAGAGAGAAAGGAGCTGATGCAAAGAAAAGTAAAAAGGGAAATGTCTGTGTCCTTAAATGCCTGTCATTCTGTGGAAATGATGTGGTGCTAGCTTGGTCTTGCCATTGAGTTTTCTCTAAAAATAAACTGGGTTGTTATTTGAGC